TTAATGAGGAGGGTCTATAATTACAGTGTTTTACATTATAGTACTTTCATACATGTAATATATATAATCTATGGCAGATAGAACATCAACAGGTACCAATTATGCAAATGATGGCCTAATTTGCATAATTATTGCGAAAATTATGATTTCTTAATGGTGAATGATGGCAATTCTGTACCTTGTACCATGTGTAGGTTACTTAAATATTAACAACACTATGCATATATTATGTTAATATAGAGGCAATTTGCATAATTAATGAGGAAGTATAAATGAGGATGTTCAAATGAAATACTGCCAAAGGAAAGGATACACGAAAAATATTGTAAGTTGAGTTTAGAACATCATAAATTAAACTACATTATATTAATTGCCACCTTATTTCCATATTCAATGAAACAAAACATTTACATAAACTCTACATATTTCATGGAGGTATGAAATCTCAGAATTCTTGTTAAACGTATTGGAATGGCCAAACGAAGAAATAAAACAGGCAGTTTTGTGTCTGAACTGATAATTCACTGGTTATTCATCTGTTAGGCAGATTTTCCTCTTACCTCCATTCCGTTGTCTTTAAATTTTCCATGATACATTTCAATATACACAAGTATCTACGCGCTCTAAAACTAGTTTTCTCAGTGCAAAAAAAAAAGTATAATTCAATTGCGTTTTCTACATCTTAAAGGCGAGGAAACTGTTCCCGTTGGTGCTGGCGGGCGGACTGGGTTTCGTGTCGGGGTCGGTGGAGAGGGACGCCGGCGTGATCCGGTCGTTGGCGGGCGGGGGAGTGGAGATGTTTGTGGCGGTGTCGCTCTCCAGGCAGTTCGGGCTCGGTGGTGAGTAGTGCCGCCTACCGGTACCGGTATGGTAACGATAAAATCATTTAGGTACAAATACCAGAATATCAATGTATTGGTACTGAATAGACTTACGCTCTAATATATAACTTTTTTTACTCATATTGTTACTTCAAGCGTGTTATTCCTGTCACAATGATGGGCCTTTAGGCCTTTAGCGCTGGAAACAGATAAAACATGAAATCAGCCTCATCTTTGATTCATAAGATAGATGAAGTCCAAACAAACATCCTGTCAAATGTTTATTCACGTTTCTCTCAGTTCATCATTGAAAACCCCATGTTATATTGTTAAAATGTTTAGGTACAGGTGCAAGTCCAGAACAGTGCCTAAACCTCTGTTATTTGATTGGCTTAGCTGTACGTACATGGTCTTGCGTTTAGGTACTACGCAGTACTAGCTATTAAATACTAGTAGTAAGTAATAGTAGTAGTGTAGGCCTCTGTATTGTGTGCGTATTCGTCGGAAGGAATTTGTTTATTCATAAGCGTCACAATCACTTGCTGACAGATTGAGCTATTATTCAAACTATTAAAGAGAATCGTTTGTTGTGCGTTGTAACGTTATTGGATGCGTCTGTGAAGCAATTGAATTAAGTGTTTTAGCATTTACTCTTTATTCAAACAATCAACATTACAGAAATGAAAGTGCGGGAACGTAATATCAACCTAATACAATTAAACCTCCACCGCTAGTGCATGTGAGGACTGCTGGGATTTTATGGCATATTCATTACAGCACAACAAGGCTGACTGTCAAATCGTCCGTGTAACTTTGTTTTCCAGACGACAGTGTTGGGTGTCTGTTTGTGGTGACGTCAGATAAAAGTTCCTGGTTGGCTGTGTGCAGTCACCTGATCTACATGGCTGTTCCAATGTGGGGAAACCCTCCCCAACATGGCGCCCTAGTGGTGGAAAGGATACTGAATGACACAAACAAGAGACAGAGATGGTGACTTTTACTTCTTTTCCTTGTGAAGCTAAAAAAGTTACAACGGATTTAGTTTAATTCAATCGTGCTTTATCAAATCTTTTTAAAACTTTCAAAGTAAAAATGGCATCACTACATTCCAATTTTCAAAGGGTGTCTTTGTAGCCAAAGTAGTAATTTGGTAAGTCAGTGAAGCAGATTTAGCCTTTTTGTGTTCTTCTGGGTAACTTTTCATAATGATGTAATAATATGATTTTCCAGGGAGAAGGAGTTGCAGCATCTTGTCCAACGCAATGAGTCGGGAAAAAGAGATGATACCTGACATTCCAACAGGCCAGAGGTAGCATAATTGTAAACAGAATTAAATAAAGCGTCGGGCGTCAAGAACTCAGATTAAATAGCCGGAAGGGAAAAAGTGGGATAAAGACTATTTTCTTTTATCGTTGATATAACAAACGTTATAGGTAATGTTATTCTATTGCCATAGTTGTTTGTATTACATACATAGAAGGGAAACTTGTAAGCTGCTGAATGTAGTATATGATTACTAGAATGTGGTGTATCATCTCTGACTAGATGTAAACAGTTGATGTCTACAGAGCACCGGTAGGGTGGGTACAAAAATATATATTTAGGTGAAGCCGCCACAACACGTAACGCATTCGTCGTAGGATAACACTTTCCCAACTATCAGACAGCCTTCTGCGAAACATGACTACTTAATTTGTACAACGCAGTCACACATAGATATGAAACTGTCCCAAACATGCTCACAGGTAGCGATCGTGTGACAATCGTACGGCGTATGTGACTGAGCCCTAGGCGAAAAGGCGTTCCTTTAGAAAACATGGAGAAACGTGTTGAATCAAAATGAAGTTATGAATGGATTTCCAAATCGTTATGAGAAGAATGTTACAACAACAACACAAAATACTCTGCAAGTTTTTCCCGCTTTCATGATGATGTCGAGTTGGGCCAATTTCAAACGGTATGTTTATTCATAGCGGTATCGAATGTTTCCATGAAGATTACATGTATAAATGTAGGCACGTACGCCTGTAGTGATGATTATGAAAACGGAATATTTTTTACCAGAAGGGCGTGTAACCGTCTTGTTTTATTATATGTAGGGACATATTGTGTTGAATTTTGTTAACTTTTGTTTTGTAAAGTTTTTTTATAAAAAAAAAACAAATGAGTATCATAACTGAAAAAAATGGGCAAAGCAGTGGGCAGTGATCATGTTTAGAAGAAATCTGCTCAAAACGTCAGCCCATGTGTTTTATCAGTAGTTGGCTCAACTCAATAAAACCGAAGTGGAACAATGGAAATACAGGTACCAACATATTAAATTTAAGGGTTTGTGTGTGCAATGATGTTGTTTGGTATAATTATTGTTATTATTGTGTATACGTTGTAATTATTGTAATAATTGTGTATACGTGTGTGTTTTTCTTATACTTTTTTGTTTTTCTTTTGGTAAGACATAACCTCCTGACGGCGTCACACGCATGGATTTAATTCTGTATTGTGGTATAACTAAATGCTGCACAAATGACATTCTGACATTCAGTCCAGAGTGTACACTTACTCTAAATATACCGTGTGTTCGATGAAGGCTTTATCAAATACGGGACCTTCCACAAAAAGTACTCCCTTTTTGGAAGAATTAGAACTGCAATTCATACCAGTAGTGTAATCTATATAACTACGCATCGTAGGCTCTTATGGGTTGCTGAGAAACAGTAAAATTTGGACAGATAGAGTATATAATACGCCAGAAGAGTAAGCCAGTCTTAAATTGCAAAGCGAACTCCTATGGCCGGCTAGATCCTCTGCCATATCATTTTTTTTTTACTATTTTCCAGTAATCCAAAAGAGTCTGGTAGAGACTACGCAAATTGGGACTCAGAATGCCCAGAGGCTAGGCCGGGAATAGAACCCGCGACCTTGTGAACCAGAAACGATACCAACCCACTGACGATCCTCTTGTAGCTGTAAGTTAAGGCTTGTCAATGCATTTAGGAAAATTATTAAAATATCTGATTGTTATCTCCACAGCACATCTATTCAAAGACCTGTATGATCACCGACAAGGCATTGTTTTCTTCAGAATAGTGTTCTTTGGTGGCTTGGTTACGCGCATAATGCACAACTCTCCAACACAAACAGGCGTACTAATTTGTCTGCAACGCTGCCGTTTTGTGAGTGGTTGCCAAGGAAACGCATGATGCTCTCGTTACGTCAATCACGGCATGTATAGCCAGCGTAGTGACGCAGCTGACGTGTTACCATAGCAACTACAAGGATTAGCAACAAGCCACCATCGGTCTTGACTGCTGCGGTCTTTCAACTCAGCAGCGTTATCTTTTTTTAGATTTCAAGAGACATGGAAAATGTTGCATTTAGATACAATAATACAATCACAACATCACGATTGACATGCATGTCACGAAATTGATACTGTGTGGAGTTAACTCTATGTTATCTTGTGTGCAAGCACTTGTTCAAACTCACCACAGAATGAATTTTTCCACGGCCGTGTGTTGTCCCCCGGTCAGGGGCTGTGTCCTGTATCATGGTGACGTGTACAAACACACTATGATGGAAGGACACAGTACCCGACCGCGGGAAATATCTGCTCTCGTTCCCAGGCTGCACGTTCTCAGGGAACCTGTAGTATGGCGAGAAATGATGGAAAACTCAGATTTGGTAAACAAACGCGATGCATGCGAGTAACACAAACGTATAGTGGCACAAATCACGTTCAAAAACAGTTAGACATGATAAACATATCATCATGTTTCTGAGCACTGTCTCTCGCTATTTGCCTATTACTAATGTATGGAACGATGTATGTTAATAGTTTGCGGATTCTCTTGATCTATTCAAAGGTCCGCTACAGCCATGAAGATATGGACGCCTGTAAAGAGAAAATGCCGGTTGCTGTGAAAAAAATGTGTCCAGAAAACGGATGGCACATCCAGCTAAGGGCCTCTGCAAACCTGTAGTGGAAGCAACACAATGATGATCAGACCTACATGTATGACTCGGTAGCCCTAGGCACCCCGCCCACGGAATTGTTTTTGTTCAACCCGTACTCATAAAACATCAAAAACAAAGGGCGCCGTCATAACAGCTTCCGTCACATAAACGATGAAAGAAAAAAGGGTTACAGAAATGAGCAAGTTACCAAACAGCAGTACTGTTGAAGTGCTCAGGTTGAGTTCCGACTGCTGCACTCCGCGGAGGACGCCTCACCAAACATGAGCTCCGCGGAGCAGCGCCGTGACATGTCCGCTTGTTGTTGTGCCGCCGAAGTGAGTGTTCGTACCTGGCCGGGCGGCTCCTTTCATAGCCCCGCTGACGTGACGAGCGCACGTCATCAACTATGTTTCTCCCTGATCACAGCAGACTAATAACGCGTACCGTGTACACAGGTTCCCGCTTAGAACATGTTTTTCTCCTGGTTATTCAAAACATGGCCAGGAGCTTTGATTGTCTACTGAGGTAAGCACCGAATACATAAAAGATGTAATTTTTTTATTCACAGGTGGAAAACACGACCAGAATGTTCAAGGAATAAAGTACAAAACGCGAAGTTAAGAAAGTGACAAAACGAAATATTCACAAAAGATTATATTTAGCGACGCAGCTGACAGATAACATGTTTTAGTGCATATCCGCAACTGTGAACACGGTTTCCAGCCCTCCCCTTTCATTCAAGCTCCGCGGATTATGCAGCTAATTAGGAAGGGAGCCTTCCTTTGTGTATCCAAGCTACCGAATCGTTCTGTCCTATCAATATCTACAATGAAGCTTGCAGTTATATATATATACGGGAACACTAAATTGGACTGAAAACAGTGGCTATGTTTTATTTCTGCTTTACTTGTATCACCTCACATTTAGGGGTGTGGGTAGATGTAGCATGATCTGGAAGCATCGCTGTGGATTAGATGATTCTTTGTCAATCTTGGCGTATTTATACTTATATAACGTCAGAAGTACATGTAGTAGAGAGTTAATTACTGCCCTGCTTTTGTTACTGGGACAATGACCTGCCTGGCGGCCTCCAGAGTACCTATTTCATCATTTTCTGATTCAACCTCAGTGAGATTGGGCTACGTGATATGTGGGACAGAAAGAATGTAGTGTTTCCCGCATGTCTGAGCTTTGAACCAATCGCAGCGTCCCGAACATCATACGTACGATGCGCAAGATGCGCAAGCAACACGTGGACCAGTTTTGTCTCACCAGACAAAATGTCAGAAAAAATCCACACTGTGTTTTTATTCACTTTCCACACAGCTTTATTGTATGTCGATTTTAAATATTCGCTTTTAAAGTCAACTATATTTTTAGATTTTATGAACGTACAAAGTTCATTCGCAACATGATGTTATAATAAGCCTCGCAATTCAGCCATCATAGCTGCCAGGAGGCTTGTGTGTACTTTGTCTTTTTGTTCTTGTAATAAACCATTCTACTACTACTTCTACTACATGTCCAAAAATTCTGACGTACGGATAAAATCCTTGTTGACAGCACTCGCCGTAGAGTCGCACGGTTTTGATGTAGGGTTTGCAAGGAGGCTGTGACAAATCCAACCGCGCCGATACACCTATCAAGAGAGATAGAGATGAGTATTGCGGGACACTGTCATTTATATGGCTATATCCAAAGAATGCATTCAGTTCGCTATCGTAAGACAAACGTACAATGTATATGGCCGGCCCCTTACGAGATAAACTTTCTTTCTTTTCCTCCTTTGTTCATAGATAAATGTCAAAATGTATCTAAGTTTTGGGAAGTTAAAAGAAGAATATTTTTTTCTTGGTCTGTAAGTTTAGTAAAATTGGGATAAATTGTAGAAGTTTGAATAGTTAACTCATTTCGAGCGTTGCTATGAAAGGAACAATTTGAGATAAAGTGCATTTCGTCTTCCACAGCCTTTGCAAGGAGGCTGTGACAAATCCAACCGCACCGATACACCTATCAAGAGAGCTAAAGCTGAGTGTTGCGGGACACTGTCATTTATATGGCTATATCCAAAGGATGCATTCAGTTCGCTATCGTAAGACAAACGTACAATGTATATGACCGGCCCCTTACGAGATAAACTTTCTTTCTTTTCCTCCTTTGTTCATAGATAAATGTCAAAATGTATCTAAGTTCTGGGCAAACATGGCGACTGTGCTTATGTTGCCTTGACTTTACTACCCAGAGCTGGGGGCGAAATGATTGACTTGTTTATTGCCTGCAGGGGAGAGGGGAATGTTAAGCATTCACTCCTTCCTGCACTTTGATGTGTGATTGCTACTTACTATTTATCGTTCTTTTCATCACAGTCGTGAATTAAACAACCACATCCTTCTACCCGTCAGTCGTAGGACTCTTTTACCGTTTCTGTGGACGAATAAACCTTCTTTTCAAATAAAGCCCGAAATGGTTAATGTTGTTAACAAGGTGGTTTTGTGGTCAGCGTTTTTTTACGTTCTTGGTTCGAAACCCTGTCAGGCCCCAGTGTTTAGGAAAGTCACGGAACATCCATGTTCTCACTCGATTCAGATAAAAATGAATACATTGCTTCAGTTAGGGACGTCACTTCGGATGAAAAGTAAAACCGCAGTTCTCATGTTTGACAATATGGGAAGCGCCACAGCTAGAGCAAGTTAAAGAACCACCACACTTGTTGCACAGAACATGGAGTCTTCCCAGTATAAATGGTTTAAACGCTACAGTTCGGTCTCAGGGTTAACATCTTGAAAATATGATAGCTACCTGTTATGTCAATCCTTTCATTAATGTGGTAAATCTCAATAGATAAACTATAGGTAACATAACTGGAAAAGGAAAGGCCGTTCTCTTGAGAATGAAAACGTACGTACGCATACACTAACGTTTTTTTTTCAACATTGACCATCTGAAATAACTGTCAAAGGGCTCTCTTCCTCGCCACCTGCCACATCTAACACAAAATGATCTGACAGAAGCCAGCGTCAGTTCATAATTACAAACCGGGATTGGACAGGAAATTACTTCATCTGTATTCATAACTCCCTTAGTCTGAGCGCTTTGCACCTGCTGCAAGTACACATAACGTGTTCGGGGGAAAACACAAGTAGTGTGGCTTGTGACATGGGAATCAAAGCAAACACAGTAAGAAATATCAGGAAATAAATCATTAGCAGATTATTCTTTGCTCTTACTCCACGTATCCCCGTTTCCTTATTCTTATGGCTGGTGCAGTTCTAGGTAGTATAAATACCGAATCAGGATTGAATGTACTTCCATTCTCTGCTCTAGTACTCTGTCAGATATACAGTACGCGTTGATATTTTGATATCTTCGGTACTGTAATAGTGTACTATTGAAATATTTTGGTCAGTTTCGGTGGCAAAATGCACACCAAACTATCCCTAGTGTTTGCTGTAGTGTTGTTTGTGAAGACCGTTTTCAGTGAAGAGTTTAAAGTTCTGCTGCTGATGCCGACGTACAAGATGCCGTTCTCGGGACAGCGTGTGGGGGCGGCGGCGCACATCGCCGTGGAGAGAGTCAACTCCGGGGAGCTGGGCATCCTACAGGGGCACCGTCTGACGTACGACTACATCGACACCGACTGCGAGGGAGTCGTGGGGACGGGCAGGATGGTGGACGCGCAGAGGCGCCGCAACTACAGGTAGTGTGGAGTTGTGTGGCGTAGCGGCAGAGTGCTCGACTCGGAACCAAGAGGTCCCGGGTTCGAGTCCTGACATGCCACCGATCTTGTGCCCTTGGGAAAGACACTTTACACGACTTTCCTCACTTAACTCAAGTGAAAATGAGTATTGTCTTGTCCTGTATTCGTCCTCTGTGTTGGTGGCAGCAAAAAAATAAGTTGATATAACTTGAGTGTGCTGTCACCATGTCTAGTCATGAAATGTTGGCATATTTAAAAAAAAAAAAACTACAGGTAGGAATGAAGTGATCATGAACAACAACAATCACAGGCTGACTGCCGCGGGATTCATACATATTTCAACACTTGAGCGACATGCGACTACTAGTATTCCGCGATCTCAAGAATCTCTTTGTAGTTCGCGATCGTACTAATGTGACGCTAGCTATTTTGTGCTTTTATATGACTAAGACGTGTGTGTGTGATATGCAACCAAATTTCATCAAAAGTTTACACAAGCAAGAAATAGAGATATTGCGGCATCAACAGATCCGTCGTACCACAACATCTCGATATGATAGGGATCATTGCAAAAAGTAAAAAAAAATAAAAATAAAATAAAAATAAACGAAGAAATAGATCAGCTGCAACATACAAACATCACAAAATTTGACCTAGAAAGATACAACGACTGAGGTTTCTTAGACAGAGGAACGAAGACAAATGATTACATTTCGTCGTCTGTATTGTATGGGATTTAGATGTTAACAGAAGGGCAGTTTTACTTTTTTATATGTAAACGCATAAAGTTAGGGTAGAATTTAGCTTCGTTGTCAAACAGCTCACTTATTTCATGGCTATATAATGTAAAGTTTGAAATAAAATGTGTTTCGTCTTGGAACACGGTTTCCCATGCTGTTTTCAGTGCGTTGATCGGGCCGATGTGCTCCTGGGTGTGCACACACTGTGCCCGGCTGGCGGCCTACTGGAACATCCCTGCCGTCAACCCCATGTGTTCAGCCGAGGAGTTCGTCGATAAGACTGAGTTTCAGACACTCACTCGTGTCTTCGGCCCTTTTATAAAGGTGACCATGTCCCCAGCACAATTCATTTCAATAAGTCCATATCTTGTCCAGGCGAATGCTTGTACCTTTATCGTGCCTCGTTTTCTTTCCATACCCCTGTTTTTCTTAAATTGCCGATTGGTGATACTTCTTGTGCCTTACGCTATTGCTATGCCTTTCTTGTAAAACCAAAAGAACGACTGTAAGCTTTTCGAGGCCCTACAAGTTGCTAATGGTTCAAGTTACATGTTCTTGCTCCTTTTGGCCGACGGCGCTTTCGAAATGATGTTTATTCTAGTTTGGCGTGCTGAAGCCTTCTTAGTTTTCTCAAAGTTCTAAAATGTGTTCCTTAAATTTGTACATGCTAGTAAAAGTATATACTTTTATACGTATCGATCATTATTCATTTGTATTATGACAATATTGCACTGTATGTATCATTTAAAGTTCAACAGAAGCCATGAAAAAGGGGTTTTGCCGTTACTCCTGTCATGTTTAATGTAATGTAACAAAGCTAAGATGAGTAAATGAATAAAAAAATGCTCCACACAGATGGGCGGTTTCTTCGCTGAGATCTGTGCGCACTTTGGTTGGCGGCGGTTCGCCCTGATCGTGCACCGGGCGCCGGTGTGGACCAGCCCGATGGGCGGTATCCGGCACATCGCCCGGCTCAGGAACATGACCGTGGCGACTTACCGGGAGATCGGGCACAGCGGGGAGGACCTGGCCGACGTCATGAGGCAGACGGCCGCCGTGTCTAGGGGTGCGTCTACGTCTACCTTTACTTCTATTTCTACTTCTACAACTGCCTCCAGTTCTACTTCTACTTCTGTCTCTACCTCTACTACGTCTACGTCTACCTCTACATGTACTTCTACCTCCACCTCTACTTTGTCTACTTCTATTTCTATCTCCAGTTCTACTTCTATGTCTACCTCTATTACTTCTACTGCTACCTCCAGTACTTCTACTTTCACTGTTACCTATGCTAAGTTACATTTCATGCATTCCATTTAATACTTAACTTGGACGGATATAACGCAACTTTAAAAACAACACCAACAGAAATCAATTCCTTCAGTTTTTGCATTGTGTGGCAAATTGAATATGCGCTCTCTATACCATCATAATTTAGTACGATATGCGGATTACGACTTTAATAACGGTGCATGTATGTTTAATGAGAAAAAGTTGGATTTACAACTCTCCATGTGTTCAACTTGTTCCTAGTTATTTTCATCGCTGCTCGCGGAGAGACTGTCCGGACCATGATGCTTCACGCGTACGATCAGGGTCTGATTAACGGCGAGTTTGTCTTCTTCTGTGTGGAGTTCTTCAGACAACCGCAGATGTTCGGAAACTTCGACTGGAAGGTCAGCAGTTTATCACGTATCTTTAATAACAGAAATTATTTTTTCGGTTAGAAATGTACGTTTTCTCTTCTCCACAGTTTTGGAAAGTGTTTTCGAACAAAATCTACAAATTTTGACATGCTTATAAGACGTTAGGACGTAAAGGTGCATTTCACTTTCCGATCGCAAGGGAGCGCTGATGATTAGACTTTGTGTGGAAGGTCTTCAGCACCAAGGACAGGTACGCCTATTATTGCACAGATTTTTATCAGCACCAAAGATAGGTATGTTCACCTTTGTGTGGAATTATTTCAGTATTTATGTTATCCGTTGTGTGGAACGACTTCAGCATCGTGACCAGGTATGTTAACCTTGTGTTGAATGTTTCAGCACCAAGGACAGGCATGTCAACTTTGGAGCAATTTCAACACTAAGGACATGCATATATTTTAATGTTAGTGTAGAAGTACAGGGACAGGTATACATGTTTACTTTTGTGTGGAATGACTTCAGTACCAAGGACAGGTACGTCTATTATTGCACAGATGGTGATCAGCACCAAGGACAGGTCTGTATACTGGTGTATGTAAGGATGCGTTTCAGCAGGTTGTAATGTTGACTTTTTAAACACGTTTTAACTACATATCATCGTCACTTTAGGCCGATGACGGCCGTGACGAGGATGCTAAGAAGGCGTTTGAAGCCCTGTTCATCCTGTCTCTGTACCGCCCGGACACCGCTGAGTACGCCACGTTTGCTGACCAAGTCATCAGGAGGTCACTGTCTGACTTCGGTTTTACTTATCCACCTGAAGAAGAGGTAAGGCAATTTGTTATTCTGATGAATACATTATATGATTTGTTATTTTGATATTATTTTATTATATTTTATTATATTTCTCTGTCCAATTTCTTGCGTATATTTGTCATCCTCCTGCGGCGCAACCTTTGATTCACTTACCACTAACTCCTTATAGTTTATCCTGACCATTTGGAATCGTACTATACAATCCATTAACAGCATTTAAAACGCTCTTTAATCAGCTATGGATTTATCATTCTCTTTGCGCCATTACATCCTAAACTTTATGCACTGATGCAACAGCGCCATCTAGCGAATGAAGCAGGCCTGCACTTACACATGTCTTACACGTCTTCCACACTTTCAGGTGTCCGTTTTGGCCGCCATAGTGCACGACGCTGTCGTTCTGTATGCCACTGTTCTGAGCGAGATTCTGGAGGAGGGAGGGAATCCGTACGACGGAAGGGCCATGGCTGAGAGGATGCGGAGCAGAACCTTTCACGGAGGTGAGACCTTCCCGTCCTTTCCAGCTTCATCTGTCATCAATTCAGATATAATGTGTTTACATAGTGGTTTGCATCTTCAGGAAAGCGTCCTATCTATGTCACCCCGTACAATCATATTTGGACATTTTACTTAACGGCTTGGAAGTGCACATTCGTCCAGAAAAGCGGACATTCCTTAGTCGTCTCTAAAAAGATCTTTTGGCGGCTGCAAAGGCAGTATCAAATTGGCCAGACAGTATCCATTTTCCAGACAGTTACCGTTTGCAACACACAGGGCTGGCGTAAAAAAGGTACAAAAAAGTACAAAAAAATAAAATCTGATATAATCGCGTAAAACACATCAAGAATAAGCAAAAGCCTAAACTACTTGGACAGTAAATATCCATCTACTTCAAGCGTACATTTCTCTTGAAAGTGGTCGTTTTTCCTACAGAAAATCATATATGGAGTAATGTCCGGATATGATTGGACAAAGGTGCACACGACGGACTATTTATCACTACGATTGTTTTACTAGGTATCCAGGGGAACATCACTATCGACAGTAACGGCGACAGAGACTCGGACTACATGCTGTATGACATGCAGGACGTCATCAACGGGACATTTAAGGTGCCCACCCGATCCTCGTCACTGTCATATCTACAGTTCTGTTACTTCTAAAACAAAGACTTTGAGATAATCTGGGCTATATATTTTCCTTACGGTGCGGTTACATTGGTCGTACGATCGCAAGTTGAATACATGGAAAAGTCCTGCATATGTCGTACAAAATTCAGCGTCTTATGACCGAAAAGATATAGTCTTAGATTCTTTTCCGCAGTCAGTTCTGTGACAGTCTACTTGAAAATGCTAGGACATCAAAATCCTACAAAAACCTACGACGAATGTGACTGTGCCCTTACTGTGAACTTCTGCTGTTTTGTTGGAAAGTTTAATTCATCGACTTTTGAGTAGTGTTGTGCAAAGTTTGTCGGTATCCATAGCGTGCCGCATATCTAATGTGAGTTTTTTTCTTTATTTTTTTTAGGTTGTGATTATTTTTTTGTTCTTTCTTCTTAGGTTGTGGCTAATTTCTTCGGTGAACGGAAGGTTTACGACCAAGTCCCGGGTGTGGTCATCAAGTGGCCGGCCGGAAGTGCGTCACCACCCCGGGACACGCCGGAATGTGGGTTTGACGGGGAATTCTGCGTCACAGAACTCACAGGTCGGTATTACTAGGAACTGTCATATTTTCTTGAAGAAGTTGTTGTACCTCTTCGTTATCTTCATACTTTTGATACTTTCTGTACAATCTACAAGCTTTGATATTTTCTGCACTTCTTGCAAAAAGAAACTAAAGGGGCAAAAGAATTCGAAGCTCACGATGTTGTAATACTTGCCGTACATGTAGAGAGTTTGATCCATAGAGTTTTTAAGGGGGGGGGGCCCAAGCCCTTTTCCGTAGAGCGTAATCGGCCGTTTTAATTCTACGTAGAGCGTAGACGGACCCTCTAATTCAACGTAGAGCGTAATTGGCGCATTTGGCGTAGAGCGTAATTCGCCGTTTTAATTCTACGTAATGCGTTGTAGCTATCGGGAATTAACCGTAAATCGTAATCGATTAATTGTGCGTAGAGCGTAATCCAAGCCGCAAACGGGAACTCGAGGCCTCGCAAGTTCCTGGTTGCCATACGCAAGAACAAGGGAACACATGGGAATGATCCCACAATGCGCTGGGTACGAGATTGACCTTACCATCGGTGACGTACAGGAGGACCATTGGCCAAACGCCACAGATGGCCACAGATGAAGAGGGTAGAAGGCCTTAGAACCACATGACTTGTAAGGCCCAATATGGGCCCTTAAGACGTTTCTTAGCGGGAACATCATTGCTGATGAACGGCCAGGGTAATGGAGGACACTCCCGAAAAGAGTAATGTCATCCCAGTCATTGTGCGGGTGATGGGTAACGCGGGACCGTCAGCAATGGGCAGCTGAGTCGTTTGGACAAATTACGCTGTATTGTTTGCGGCCTTTTCTACCTTCGGATGACACCCCCCCCCCCACAAGGCTCAAAGGTCCACTTTTTGGTCCACTTTTTATCTAAAGGTCCAAGACTTTTCTTTAAAAGACGGACTGATTCGTGTCACCAGCAAGGCTGGAATCCGTCGTAGGAAAACGGCTCACTTTGTCATTGAAAAAGTTATCTCTGATTTTTTTCTTTGAAACCCTCTAAAAACGCAGGAAATACCATATTTCAGAAGGTTCATTTTTCAAAATTTCCCGGGGGAGCATGCCCCCGGACCCCCCTAGGAACTTCGCGCCTACGGCGCTCGTTGGTCCCCCCCTTCAAAATCCTGGCTACGGCCATGTTACCTCCATTGACGGATTGCCCTCCGATCTTCGGGCGATCGACTCGCGGTCAAGTTGGTTCCTGGGGTAATACTGAATACCCCGTTTTGTATTCTATACTTTCAATGTATAAGGAAGTGACCGCCGGTTACTACTTTTAATTCAAGTTATGTCACCTCTACATATGATAAATCAAAAGGTTTTCACGCAAACATGCAGTTGCTAGGTGATTGAGTTCTGCATAGTGCGTTCGGAATCTTTCGAATTTAGCGTAGAGCGTAGAGAGGCGTCCGGAATTCAGCGTAATACGTAGCCGGCTCTCAAAATTTAGCGTAGAGCGTTGTCGGGACCCCCCTTGGAGGCCCCCTTTAAGCAGGAAACAACCAGCGACATGAATCTAAAACCTTTCCTGTAACAAGACAACTGAATTTATCAGGACAGATGCATCCCCCCAATGCATCCATTTTGCGATCATCAGACGATCATACGACGTATGTGTCTGGCCCTTCACGCTGTTTGATCTTGTTCCAGAGCTGGACCCTATGGTGTACGTGGGATCGTCCTTCTCCAGCCTGGTGCTGGTCCTGGTGATTGTAGTCATCATCATGTACAGGTCAGTTAGTTTTGCGCACAAGTGTAACCATTAGTGACATGTAAATAAAAACACGAAAATGTACAAAAATACTGCAGAAAAAGGATGCCCTTGTCGAACATGAATTCGGAGAATAGCAAAGCTCTTCAACCACAACCACTTTTTATAAGACGAGCCGATAGTTTTGATGGCGGTCGGTCATGTTCATCTGGGCTAATATGACTCGTCTGATGAACATGACAGACGAATGAATAGCCATGTTGAAGAGGGCAGACGTTAATCGAAGGCCAGCTCGTCTTATAAAGAGCTACGAATTTCTCCGAATTAAAATGCGGTTGTGATTTTAAATGCTATTCAGTCACATGTTAGTCTTAAAAGAAAAGCTTTTCTTCTGCCATTCTGCCTCAACCTAAAACAACACTATCTGATAAATAATTCCTTTCTTCTAAGTTAGTCTTTTCATGATCACTCTCAATAACTACAGAAAATACCGTCTGGAAGCGGAGGTGGCCAGTATGCAGTGGAAGGTCAAACCGGAAGATGTGGTGTTCGTCAAGGGACACGCTAACAGTCTGTCCCGGGCTAGCACCAAGGTAGGTAGTAGGCATGCTTGGACAAGCAACGAGCAATATATGAACCATCAGCGTAGCGTTAGAGTTTGCAGTAGTGTGAGAGTTTGTAGTGTTTGGTTTTCATATGAGATAACTCCATCTTTGACATGTCCTCAGGCGACAGGCCGGTCCTTGGCTACAATCTACTCGGGTTTCTCCGTCAGTACCACGGACGACGAACAACAGATCTTCACCAAGACTTGTACATACAAAGTGTGGAACATTTTAAGTAGTATTTTCCCTTTTCCATTCCTTGTCTTTAATTTTCCTTCTAGGCACCATTGTTGATTCGAACGAAAACATTGTTTTATTCATCTCCAAGCAGATTCGCTGGGGCAAGGGGACTTTATGGTGGCCGCCTGTATCCATTGGCCGAATCTGCTTGGAGATTATGTTTTAACTAGTTTGGTCGTTGACGTTAAGCTAAGATTGTTTTCTCTGATGTCTGATGTCAGGGCAACACCGTAGCTCTAAAGTGGGTGGAGCCCAAGAAAGCTCACCTGAACAAGACGCTTCTTCTTGAACTCAAACAGGTAAGTACTGTCACTTTCTGCACTTCTTGAATACCGGAATACTTGTTAGATGCGATGTCATGATTTGATACTTGTTTATGGTCTCTATTTTGAAAATATTGGCAACTTATTTTTTTGCCCATCTTTTTTTCGCGCTCTCGTATGAGATTTTGAATGCACAGAGGTTGTCATCCATGACATTTACTTACTATGGCCTAACAGAAGTGTGTCTCCTGACCTTGTTTCCCGTAGATGCGTGACCTGACCCATCCTAACGTCACCATGTTCGTGGGCGCCTGTCTGGAGCCGATCACGTCCAACTCTTTCATTCTCACCGAGTACTGCCCGCGGGGGAGTCTGCAGGTAGCTTCAATAGTTCTCTTTATAGTTCGAGAGAGGCTAGTTAACTGCATCTATTCGATCATCATGTTTTGTTGTGACTTGTAATTACCCCCATTCGTCAGTCCTAATCAATTCATGTGATTTTCTGCCGCAAGAAGTCACTGAAAAACATAACGATGTTTGCACTGAAGAAACAATTATATCACAATACCGACATCTTCTCTACTTTGTTCTTCTCTGTGCAGTTTGAATGACTGATTTTCTGTCCTTCCCCTCCACCCAGGACATTCTTGAAAACGACTCCCTGACCTTGGACTGGATGTTTCGATTTTCCCTCATGTTGGACATAGTCAAGGTGGGAGAGGCGATAGAAATTCGCCACGTTTAATCGAAAGTTCTAGTATTGTTTGTGTAGGTTTGTGTGTACGCTTATGTCATTTGTTCAACCTTCATGGCCACGTAGATTTAATGATGAAAGAAACTTTTTTTTGCCAAACTTTTTTTTATTCGCACATTGCATGAGTTTTGGGGTTCCCAGAGGATGTCATCCATATAATCAAATCAACATGACCTAAGTCGGTTTGACACTATCGTACATACTAGTATACAGTAAGACATGAAAATACCTCCCAAGTGAATTGTTACTGTCATGTTGAATACAGGGCATGTCGTACCTCCACGCCAGTTTCCTGAAGTCGCACGGTCAGCTCTGTTCCTCTAACTGTGTGGTGGACAGCCGCTTCGTGCTCAAGGTCACGGACTTCGGACTCATGTCACTGCGCAAGCGCAACACCGACAAGACGCACGCGTATTACACAAGTAGGCTTTTTTAAATATTCTATGTAGTTCTTTTGGAAGAAACTGAAAATACCAGGTGACTATGAAGGGTCTGATAACATAAGACCTATGATCGACGTATAAACTGGAAGGGGTATTCTTAGTTTATATGTGGTGTCGTAGACGTCTCATATATGTCTTGTTACTTAAAAAACTGTCTTGGAGCCGTATCAGCGGTTGATTCCGTCACGGTCTGTACGACGCATGACGTCGTACATCGACGACGAAGTTGACCGCGCCACAAGAAGTAATTTGAACTCTGTTTGCTCATTTCGAGATTTTAACCCAACGGTTTTTTTATGTGGGTATGTCTAGAGCTACTCTATCGAGCCCCGGAGCTGCTCCGCGGATCCGTCCCGACCAGAGGTACCCAGAAGGGAGACGTCTACAGTTTCTCCATCATCGTGCAGGAGATCGTCTTCCGCTGCGGAACGTTCTACCGGGAGGACAGCTGTCTACTACCTGAAGGTGGGAACAATGTACTCTCCTGGCAGAGATTTACATGTAGGCTTCGGCTTATTTTGGGCGTGTTTCAGGCATTTTTAGCAGCCTCTCTTTTTTTACGCCAACCTAGCTTGGGTGACAAATGATAATATATCTGACAAATGGATACTTTCTGGCCAATTTGATACTGATACTGTGTTTTTAGCTGTCAAAAGATCTGCTTGGAGATAAAAGAACAATGATAAACACATTGTTTGTTTGTTACTTCAGTGTGCGTAAGTATTGTTTTGCTGGGTTCACTGTGAGTTTGTGTGTGTTTTTGTTCGCAGTAGGTTGATAGCACGTGGGTGGGGGAAAGACGGGATGTATATTGGGAGAAATTTGGATGAACGGGAAGGTCTCAGAATCTGGCCAGACGCAAGTAGGAATTAGCAGTTGGCATTTGGGAGAATTTAAGAAGTCGAGGATTGCATGAGCTCTGTTTTCCCCATAAATTCACGAAAACTCAATGTGCTGCCCGGAATATGAAAATCTCTGATTTCATGGTCGTAGTACATTTCACAGACTTGTGCTCTTGGGGTGATTTCCGGTCCCTGGTTCTAATATTTTCTTTCATCTTAATTTATCACCAGACATGCTGCAGCGTGTGCAGCACAGTGAGGAGCCTCCGTACAGACCGACCGTGAGTGACGCCGTCTGTCCGCAGAACCTCCGCAGTCTGATGGAGAAGTGTTGGTCAGAGGACCCGGAGGAACGACCTGACTTCCACAGCCTGAGGGGCATGGTCAAGAAACTCAGCCCAGCCAGGTACATCTTTGATAACAGTTGTCATTTTAAAAATTACATTACAAACAATTCGTTACAGGCAATTAAGTATGTATTTGACAGGTCATTTTTTGCTATATGTCAAAAGCAAGCATCACAAAACCTTCTTATGGGTAAAAACAAATGTTTTCTTCGCATTCGCGGAAATTCCAGAAATTCCTTTGAAAAATAAGAATTCTTGCAGATCAATTACAGTCACTTGAGGCGTCACCAAAAACCTCATTATGATTACATTCTCAGAAGGAAAACATGATGTCTTTTCTCATTTTTTAATCTTCTTCTTCCGTTCCAAACAAATAGAGTCATGACATGTGGACCGGACAACTGGTGCTGTATCAGACACCCTGTGGTGTTGGGTTACAGTAAGTTGCAGGACAGAGCGTATATGTGATTGCATTTGAGTAGGAATAAACAGAGAAGTAGTTTGTTGGGATAGGTCAGGTGAAGGCTTTGCAAATGTTACGTTTCTAGTTGTTATTGTTGACTTCGATTTCCTCATGTTGTAACCCTCCCCCAGTCAGAGTGAGAACATCCTGGACAACCTGCTGAGCCGGATGGAGCAGTACGCCAACAACCTGGAGTCTCTGGTGGAGGAGCGGACAGGGCAGTACATGGACGAGAAGAGGAAGGCGGAGGACTTACTGCACCAACTCTTACCCAGGTGGGACACACACGGTCGGCAAGGGCTGTATTTTTTTAATCGACAAAGTGTTTGTCCTTCAGAGATTTCCGACGTCAAGGTATTATGGTCGGTTTTCGTGACCTTCAAGTTTACTCTATTTCCTGTGAGCTTCTGACCTGCCTGTCATCCTGCCTGTCAATCTTTCCACTACCCCCGTGCTGTCAACCTACTCTCAAGTTTACTACAACTCCTGTGTCTGACATTTTGACTTCTTATTCCGCATGTTAACCCTCTCCCAACGTGTTGTCACAAACAAATAGATACGTAAACGTACAGAGCTCAGTAACCCCAAAACTATACTTCCAAATTCCAAACGGAGATTCCCTATGCATGGCAGACTATGTCAGATAACAACAGGTCCTTCCCGCTGCAGGACGGTAGCAGACCAGCTCACGCGGGGACAGAGGGTGGAGGCCGAGGCATTCGACTGCGTCACTATCTACTTCAGCGACATCGTGGGCTTCACGTGCCTGTCAGCGCAGAGCACGCCCATGCAGGTGAACAGCTTCAACCGCCTGTTTCTCCCGGGCATCTCGCCAGGGGGCGTCCCTAACAGCACATCATTTTGCCGTCTGCACCATGGCGTTTTCATAACATAGGGACAGTTTGCGACTCCGACCTATATATATATATGTTTAACACTGCCTCATTTTAATATTTCTGCAGGTGGTTGCGTTGTTAAACGACCTCTACACAACTTTTGATGCCATCATTGATAATTATGACGTCTATAAGGTAACTATGGCACACAGTTAAGTCGGTTGTCTTGCGTGTCACGTTTCAGCTTAGCACTGTAAGACAATTCTTTTGGATGTTGACTTAGGAAGATGTGGTCTCGCCAGAGACTTGCGCTATATAAGGTTAAGAGCTGTTTAATAGACCGATCCAATCTCCAGTATAACATAGATGCTCCTGTGCGAAACCCGTCATGTATTGTGAGTAGCACTTCGGCAGAACGTCTCATTTAAGGTCGTATTCACGTATATAATGTTAACACTCTGTCTGTAGTTTCCAAATGTTATGTTGAAAAAATATCGTCTTCAACACGCAAATTTTTTATGCATGCTTGCAACATTGACCAAAAATCCAACGAAAACCGTTGATAGATGTAATGTACATATTGGAAAAATCGGGTATGCAGACGTTCTCTCATTAATTGTGATGGGCAGTCAGGATCGGTCTATTCTGCACTGCAGACACAAATCTGAATCTGTTTATCTACCCCAGGTGGAGACTATCGGTGACGCCTACATGGTGGTCTCGGGTTTACCGCTGAGAAACGGCAACCTCCACGCCAGGGAAGTCGCCCGGATGTCGCTGGCACTTCTGGCCGCCGTCAGATCCTTTAAGATCCGGCACCGTCCTCAGGACCAGCTCAAACTCAGGATCGGTGTTCACTCTGGTATGTACTACTAGTAGTTTAGATCGCAGGTGCCAGCGCCGTAGGTCCTGAACGCCTTGTGTTGCTTTTATGGATCGCTAGATGTCGTTCCTGATGGAGGTCCCTGTGTGGCGGTAGTTGTTGGTCTAACGGCACCGTCTTCAGGACCAGCTCAAACTCAGGATCGTCATTCATTACCTTCGCCAAGAAGGTTATGTTTTCAGTAGCGTTTGTGTGTGTGTGTGTGTTTGTGTGTGTGTGTGTGGTTTAGCAAGATAACTCAAGAAGCAGTGGATGGATTGGAATGAAACTTGGTAGGTGGGTAGGTCTTCATGAGACCTAGAAATGATTAGATTTTGGGCCCCCTGGCGGCTTTCTTAGGTACTGCAGCAGAACTTCCGGTTTTGATATCTCGTGATCTGGACATGCTAGGGTCACGAATTTTGGATGGCAGATAGCTCTTGGCGTAGGAAAGAAGTGACACGAGTTTGGGTCCCCTAGCGCCTTGTTCTGGAACTGCAGGAGCATTTCTTGAAAAAAATTCGAAGGACAATAACTCAAGAACCGGTTGACGTATTGTCGTGATTTTTGGTATGTAGGTAGTTGAAGTGATGCTTGACATAATCAGATGGCAATTATGCAAATCAGGACTTAATTTGCATAATTAATGAGGAAATTCTATAAATCTGCTTTGTTCAATAATAGGACTATGAAACACACTGACATCTACTTGAGAACGAGAAAAAAATCTAAGGATATAGATTATGTAAACGAGGACCTAATTTGCATAATTAATGGCAAATTCTTATAATTCCATAGTTGTAACTGCTGCACCCCGAATTTCATACTTGCCACATTTGGAAGTTAAGTGAAGGTGAACATCAATAAACATATTTTATTCAAATCATGACCTCATTTGCATAATTTATGAGGAAGTGCTGTAATAGCCTTTTTGTTATGATAAGGCCGTCATTGGATGGAGAATATGATCAACTGATATAATCCATGTAAATGAGGCTCTTATTTACAAAATCAATGATTAAAATTGTATAATTCGTCACCCGCAAGGGTTAACATCATTTGGCGAAGGTATGAGATCGTGGAACTCTTGTTCCGATATAATATGTAGACCCTGGTCGTCTTGTGTTGCCTTAGTTGATCGCTAGATGTCGTTCCTAACCGATGCAGGTCCCTGTGTGGCGGGAGTTGTGGGTCTAAAGATGCCCCGATACTGCCTGTTTGGAGACACGGTCAACACCGCCTCCCGGATGGAGTCAACAGGGCTGCGTAAGTAGTTTTGACATGTCGACACAAAGAGTTTCACATGAAATGTTTCTCTACAACGTCACACATCTACTCTTGCAACTTCTACCATGATTTATATACATACCTCCTTCAAACCTTTCACAGTTCCATTTTAAGGAGTAACAAAATATTGACCTTATCTTCTCCACCCCCAGCCCTGCGTATCCACACCAGTGTGCCGACCGTGTCCTTACTCAGCACGTATGGAGGGTTCGTTCACGAGTTCCGCGGACAGGTCGAAATGAAAGTAAGTTTTCGCCGACGCGATTCACACATGATGTAACTTACTATCGTAATAATAATTGATGATAGATACAAGTAACGATATATGCACATGCAAAATGTCATTTGTTGTGTATAATTGTGACTCCGACCTCCGACTCGTATATACGAGTTCAAAAACTCGTATTTCCCAAGAACTATCGTAGAGTGAAACTCGTTGCCACCAAGCACAGTTGAAAACCTTCACTACAAAGGAAGCCTTCAACAACTCCTGCAATTAAATGTGCAAAGATTGAGTGTGATAAGTCGTTTGGTGTGATATAGCTAGCTAGCGCGTGCCTAGCGCCTGCGAAGCTGGTGTGTTACGCCGAAGGGCGGTTATACCGGCTATACCGCTCATCTCATCTGATCTGTATCCTTCTTTTCCTGCCGTGCTGCCCAGGGGAAGGGCCCGGTTCCTACGTACTGGCTACTGCGGGAGGAGAAGTCCAGCACACGGGATATTCTGTGAGGCTTCCGCACATACAACTACACTGCAGATTAGGGCAATGTGTTGAAGGTCCACTTTCCAGTAGACGGTAATGGCTGAGCGACCATTGAGTGACTAAATCAAAGTATAATTTGAAAGAGAACAAAATAAAATCGTTCTTTATTAATAAAAGTTATTGAGTGAGCTGCCAAATCTTAGACGAGCTCAGCAGTCGCAGTCTATAGTGGAAATGATCGTAAGATTATAACGTAGGTTATATTAAATTCTATGGTGGATATTAAAACCATATCTGATTTTCCATGGCCTGTAGGTAATGCACGCGAGTGACAAGTGGACCTGTCTGTAGAGAATATAGATTACATCGATCTAGTATTGAATATTATGTAGAGTTCACTGGGTGGTCGTCTTTGATTTTCTGATCACATAGGAAAAGGGCTGACTGTTCCTTCAATCTCCAAGCAGATATTTCGGTGGCTGCAAAACAGTATCCGTTTGCCAAACAGTTACCAACAGAGAAGAATGTTCCCCAAGATTGTAAACACATCGCTATATATATATAGCTATATTGTATATTGGGAGATTGGATATAGATAGATGCGATATGTAACAGCCTGAGAATGTAACAACCCAAATGAAAGGACACGAACCATATGGCAGCATTCATGATGGTATATGTGTTTATGTAACACCATGTATGTGTAAGGGTATCTGCCTATGGATTCATTACGACTATATATTTCAGGCTTTGTTAGGGTTTTAATCATATAACTTGTATATTTTGACTGATCCTGACGTCGTCTCCCCTGACCTCAATAAAAAGCGCCCAGCTGGTCAATTTTGAGTATGGTATGAATAAACAAACAAACAAACAAACAAATGTTCGTTTGACAATCGCATCATAAGTTTTAATGGCATTTTGTCGCAACGTAACATACAAACCACTGAAGAAAATAACGGAATAACACGATATATAAGTGCAGGTCTGTCTCTATAATCTCTTTAGTGTGACGTCTGTTTAAATATTATGTACACGTTTTCAAGACTTTATACATCACCGAACCTACAAGTACCATGGTCTGGTTCTATCTACACGGCACATAGTTCTTGGAATACATAGAGGCGATGTTGTTATAATAACATGTTCTTCTTTTTACTCAGTCAAATAGATTCAACTGAATATAGTCAGTAAACAACTGTGTTTAGTTGCGACTGTAGCTTAGATAGTCCTACATGTAAAATCGTGACGCAGTAGCGACCCAGTCACAAACGGCGCACGATCATCCTACGATCTCAAACCAGGGGAATTCTTGGCCTAGTCGTGCATATGTTGTACGAACATACAGATGTCTTCTTACGGAAAGGCTGTCTAACATCCTTGTCGGCGGTTGGTTCTGTCACAGCCTGTTCGAGAATACAACATCAAAGTCGTACGACTGAGTACGACGGATGTGACTGCGCCGTTACAACCATTGCTCCAGTAGCGATAATAGACAAAGGTAATCTTTGTATTCACATGAGCATATCACGCATATGCATAACTTTACACGTATGTTGAGATGAGTTATGTGAGTGGAGACATTTGTAAACGGATTAAATGCCCAACTTTATATGATTTATGGTACAGCGTATAATTTTGGTCTCCATACATTTAGATAATATCTCTTACAGTCATATTTGTAAACAACTTCTGAAATACACCCCGTTGCGCATCACATGATACATTTGATGAAGGTGTAAGGGTTCGGTCACAGTTGTCGCACGATCGTCGTACGATCGATCGCAAACATTCTTAGGATAGTCGTGTATGTGTCGTACGAAACTCGTCTGTCTTCTTACTGAAAAGATTGTCTTTGACTCCTTTCAGTAACAACACAGCCATTTATTAATTTGAAATCAAATTTAGAATAATTAAAATATGTTTCATCTTGCAATAGGTTTCTTCGGCGTCAAAATCGTGCGACGACATACGACGAACGTGGCCAAGTTGTAAGTAATAATTTCCGTTGAATTAGCGCACAAAAAGGACATACAAATCTCCATGTATACATCTGAGAGGGTTCCTTATAACATTCTGGGGTAAATATACTCTGGGTTCAAAACCAAGTTACAACGGTGCGGTTCAAACTGATCCAAAACTCGACTATACGTTTCCAATATGAATGGATTTTTAATTATTTACACTTTTCAAACACAACTGGCTCAAAACCGAACTTCTTCGTTTAGTTTCCAAACAAGCAGGAAAGAAAAACATGCAACATGTCCTGACCATGAAGTATACATTGTATATGCTTTCTTTATACATTTGGGTGATTTTTGATACAATGCAAAATTACGCGCAATCGGTGTACTACAATAGGTTCATTTTAATACATTTAAGTGCTTAAAAGTACCGTTTCTCATGAATCAAAAACTTTTCTTTGCTTTCTTTGTACATTTTGACGTTTTTTGTCACAATGCAAAATTACATTCAGTATTCTGCAACTGTTTCATTATAATACCTTTAAGTACATAAAAGTACGTACCGTTCGAAACCATTTTCTAATATTCCAATACTCCTACGCAATCCTGGTGGTACTCGCTCACGAGATGAGGCTCTTTTGTATCCTATCTCTACCCTTTATCTGAGCTCGCAAGACTGAGATTCCTATATAGGCTCTCTACACAGGCACAAAAGACATTTGGTAATAATAATTCTGGTGAATCCATCGCACAGACATTAAATAAGTCTTTAGGCTTTGGCAAAAATGGGGTTTACGCAGTAAGGGGTAATGGAAAGGACTCCATTTCATTTCATTATACTGCTCTCAAGCCATAAAATATCAATAACGGCCGCCTGCGCTGAGAAAAGATGACCTTGTCTGGGATGGTTATCATAAAATGGTCTCCTGGTTAGGGAATGTAGGGTATGTACATGGGAGTGCGAAAGGAAAGGGACTGTAGAGGTTAGAGACACATGAAAGGTAGCCATCATTCTCTATTAGCCTTTCTGGCGGCGGTGGAGTCACTCTTACAAAAGTGACATTAACGCGAAGCAGACAGTCGAGTCATTTGAGTCCACGAGGCTATAGCTACAATAAAGCAAAGCGAATGAAAACAGCGGTACAAAGGGAATAGCGCTCATACGACACCATGCATTTAACACAGTTATCTAATATACTTAATAGACTGACCGTGTTTGTTATACGAGTACAATAGATTCAAAAGCAGTCGCTGAGGGCAGTCGGCACTACATCACCTAAAACATCAAGTTAACAAATAGGATTTTTTCCTTATATATACCATCACCATATGAAACTGCAACAGAATTGACGATTGGCACTTAACGATACAGAAAACACGAAATTTATCCTTCTTAAAGTTCTCCATGGTCAAATACAAAGGCATTTTACTTGATCTTGGGTATTTCCTTCAGCGAATAACATCTCCTCTATGGACAAATGCCATTGCTCGCCTTTTATGTTTCTTTTTCCCTTAGTGAACAGTCTACCTGCCATGTACACATGTATTGCGTTCTGTGTATGAGGCACCTGTTACACGTATAAGATTAATCCGGTTATGTATGGAAAATAATAGGTGGTTAAGTCCTTAATATATCATGGTAAGTACCACTTTTTTCACATCGGAAATACCGTTGAGTAGCCTGTTTTAAACATCAAGCTTTCCACGTCTCCAGATATACATGTAGATGATAATGGCACGATAAAGGAACATGCTTTCCGTACAGAATCACATAAACCCACCTCACTATTATAGTATACTGTGGGATTACGTATATTATCATCGGACGGAGTGAATTTTGTTGCTTCTCTCTCTCTAGTCAGTGTGGACTCATAGAATCAACTGGCACTCTTTTAAGTCTTTATGACCGTTATATAAGGGAATGACGTATTCACATATGTGTTTTTGTTTGTGTTTGGTTGTTGGGGTGTCACACCACCGTTAACGTTCAGCAGCATTTCTTCTTTCTCTTGGCCGCCTCCTGTTGTTGTCTGTCGTCGATAGGGAGGCTTCTGATCTGTTCGTCCTCTCTCTCCTGTAGCTTTCTGTAATGTTCGACCCGAATGTATTATTCGTTGGACGGATAACCACAGTTTGGACATAAGGCAAAACACAAGCAGTTTACTAGCATGAAAGTTCATCTGGGTTGGCAAATTATATATATATATATACGTTATGAAAAAATCAAACAGTTCTCCGACTAGAAAAATCGACTCACTGGAATCCCTCGTCTCTCAACCACGAAGGGGTCGATATCGACTTCCGATAATCTTTGACCCATTGCTGACGTCAACGTGCGTAAAGTCGCGTGCTGAACTATTGGGTCAGATAGCTGTAGAGGACTGTGCAGGACTGTTTTCAGTTTAAAATTCCGGTGAGTCAATTTCTTTAGTTTGAGAACATTTCCACTGTTCTAAAACATAGGCATCTTAGTCGTCACTGGTTACCGTGGTTTACCAAAAAAGGCAAGTTTTACGTTGTGGCCCTTCTCTTAAATATAGCTTGCTCTTACGTAACTCACCTTGTCAGGATTTCAAAAGACTGCGCGACGTTTGTTCCCAGCTTGGCACTCGTCTCAACGAACAGCGCGTCGTACTCCTGCAGAAACACACGGTACTGGGTTTAATCCGGAATGCGGGTTCATACAATTTTGAGTGTGAGCACATGTGGCTTCAGACTATGGATTAACTGCCTTGTCTCTGGGCGTATGTTTGGAATAACAGAACAGAATTCACTGACGACAAATTTCTCACACTACAAGGTGTAACCAGCAGGAGAGCTGACTGACTACTGATCGACTACTAAATGTCCATTATCAATGGTTTGTTCCATCAATGAATCTTTGGGATTTTACACCGATGAGATGATACAAGGGTTAAAGGGGGGGGGGGCTCAACGTCTGTTAAAACTCCAAATCCGTGTGGTCAAATGTGGCAGGACAGACTGATTGTTTTATCGACGGAACGCACCTTTGCCAGGTTTCTGCCTGCAGCCTCGCTCACGATCCGGTGTTTCTCCGCCAAGTCGTGCTTGTTCGCCACCAGGACTGTCACAGCCGTGGCGTTCCCTTCGTCCACCTGCAGAGAACGCACGATAATGCATAGATGTATCATCTGAGGTATACTTTTCTTTTGAGTATATACGTACGGAAGTATTGTTCCTGGTGGCTGAGCTGTGAATTTGTGTGTGTGTGTGTGTCTGTCCGGACAGAGTAGGTTGGCAGTATGTGGGTGGGGAAGATTGACAGGCATAACAGGAGGTCAAAGAGTCAGGCACAGGAAATTGGGGTCATCTTGAGATTAGGTTGACATCAAGTGGGTTATGAATAATGGGAGGTTAAAGGGCAGACACGGGAAATGGGGTGAACTCAAATGTCATGAAAATGTCACAAAAACGTACGCCCCTACCCCACTCTGAATGTCCTGCATCCAGTTATTGACGTTCTTGAAGGATTCCTCGCACGTCAGGTCGTACAGCAGCATGACCCCGTCCACCTTTCTGAAGTAAGAGTTCGGGATGCTGCGGAACCTGAAACACCATTAACGGGTCAGAGTGCACACAGGGCAGGCTGTTGTTGGAGGGAACATACGTAGGGAATATTCCTAAAAGCCTTGATGTTTCAGATGCAACTTGCACCAGAAAGAAATGGGTGTAAATTCACTTCCATGCGTTAGTTCTAAGCTACTGATCCAAGGCATTTAATTCCATCTACAAGCTCGTAAGGAACCACATTCTGCATGCCAAGGGATATCACTTTAAAGGAATAGTCTTTTACGATGGGGAATTAAGTGTAAATGGGGTTTTTCGTTCAAGCATTTCCGTCCAATCACCACGGAATAAGAAACACGGCACTCCACGGTCCGCTCTCTAATGGCCCTGGGGGACTGGCCAAATGGATTTAGTGGCAATCAATATTGGTAAGTTCAGGTTCGTGCGGGGTAAGCACCATCTGGTGGCCTGTTCTGACCCAACCCACGCCACGTCCGTGTTAGAAATAGACAAACGGGCTTTTGAAGACTAGAAGTGGAATGTTGGGCCCGCTCTCAAATCTGCAAATATGCGTCATAAGAACCCTCTAGATGCCACACACAGTGAGTTACTAAAAAGTTGACAGGTCACTCAACCCATTTAATAGATAACGAACGACTTTACGTTTTGTATGTCTTGTTGTCTTTTGAATCATACATTTATATCGTAAATCATATTTCAATTATAAAACCGAGGATTACAAAAATTCAATTTTGGTCGTTCAACAGTTGCCATTTAGAGGGAAGGGGACCTAACAGGTCAATTACACACACATATACAGTAGGGGTGCTATTTCATAAAAATTGATATCGCGTTTGGTCTGTAAACTGCGTCGTGTTTCAAATCATAGCGTTATATTTCACTTGGAAATATCACACTGTAGCTGCTATGTGTATACTAGTATGTCAACACAGTAAAACTAGAAGTACGAACCGTTCTTGGCCTGCCGTGTCCCAGATCTGTAGAGATATGATGGAGTTTGCCGTCACCATGGTCTTCATGTAGTACCCTATCCCTGCATAAACACAGCGACAGATAGCCCTGATACAGCTTTCATTTCATGTACATTATGGCGATAGAACAGCAGCCGGCATTGACATCATAGTCTCACAAAATTGATGTGTTGTATTTTCGAAATTTCAAGTTGGGCAATAATCATACTACTTGAACTAGTTTACTCATTCAACAATTTTGACTGTTAATTTTAACACAGTAACCCTGATCATGTATGACTACACAGACCACGTGATTATCAGAATAAATATCTTGAAGTCAGCTTCAAAGAAGGTTGCTTTCGTCTTTAATGACGATAAACAAGCACCAGAACACAACATGGTGGCAGTAGTGGGATAGCGTTTTTAGTTCTTAATTTAACACGAAAGTGTAACAATAGATACAGAACACTGGACGCAAGGTTAACACTACTTAACACTACTTCGCAAAATTTTTTTTTACGTGACAACAATTATGAACACCACACTCCTGTGAGTTTGGGACCGCATTGTAGATTCCGTTCCCTGTAGCCGTGTAGATATGTAAATACTTTGCGTTTGGGAACGCATCTAAAGCAGCACCACCTGTGCTGTGAACCAATCAGAATTACCCCGAGGAAAGTGATGACAGACGGTCACCGAAACTGGTTGAAAAATAAATACACTTGTGCATAAAGAGTCTCTTTATTCGGCACGTACCTACTGTGACTTGTCTCTTGGGGCTGAAGGTGTTTTTACAGAACCTGTGGATGAAGCTGGTCTTCCCCACACCTGAGTCTCCCACAAGGATGATCTTGAAGCACCTGTCAGGTGTTCGTACGGCCTGTGGGAGACAACATTCACTGATAAACATCCTTATATACATCTACATCATAGTAGATGCAATAAAATAAAGGCTAAAAACTAATTATTAACATATACATATTTCATATAGTATTAAAGCACACGGCAAATAAGACACAGGGTCTTCAGTACAACTCAATACATACTTGGAATTCCAGTATATCGTTTTTTTATTGCAATGTAACTTTATAAACTTTTAAAGTAAGATAGTTCATTGATAAATACTACACATGTAACGCCATATACATGAATTCTAAATCCGGATGTCGTTACCTGAGACGTTGTGTCACACTCCACTTCATGCGCGATTTTGGACTGGAACAAACGGCAGAATAATTAAACTTTAAAGGATCAACATTCGCTATCAAGGTATCTGTGGAACAAGGAACCTCCAATAGGACTCAATCACTTAGGACACGTGACTTTATGTATGTGTGACGCCATCAAGGGGTCAAAGGTTGTAGGAAGTCAATGTCGCCCTCCGTCGCGGTTGAATGATCACGAAAAAAAGTTATTCGGTCGAGTCCAATTTTGGAAGTTTGAGAGAACAATTTAATTGTTACACAGTGTAATTTACCAACTCTGGTGAATTTTATACGTGTCTCGTGTCAACCTTTTTCAAACGAAGCGTATTGCAATATATGTATATACCACACTATGTAGAATAGATATGATAAAGTCCACTAGCCATCAGACAGCTGCAGGTGGGCATGGTCTATAGATTATGATAGTAATCCTGACGACTGATGAACTCTCCGATTAGACACTTATTTTCTGATTGACGTGAATTAGCTTAGCAATGACTCTTATCTTAATAATTATAAGTGTGTCGGGTATCTCTTTTTTTGCCTCAAAGAACTTCTCAACACCCAGCAAGAGGTGTTGACATACACAGCCGAGGTAAATTATTATCTGCTCAACCGCCCACTGAAAAACCTCACACATCCTCCCCAAACCTATCAGCCTTTCTTTGTAGTCATGTTTTCACCTTGAACGATGCCGCCAAGATCAAAGCAATAACGTTACAGGCATCGGCAAATCGAAGTTCCCAGGGAATAAGGGCCGTAATCCTCCTTTAAGAAATCCTATCACAAAACTACAGGCGGACATCTTTGACATTGAAGTAGAGACAAGGTCGGGGAGAGGTCAGGCATTGATTTGCCGGTTCAGTGGAGTTTTGCTAAGTTCTGACGCAAGTAGCGTAGATTAGTTACCGCTGCTTCTCGGATGGCGGGGGTTTTACGGGGTACTTTCGAATCTAAGCCCTCGGTGTTGTCTGAACCGTGGTGACCTTTGAACGCAAATTAGCAATAAAACGTTCCTGGCTGTCAATCAAAAGATAGTGATTTGGCCAATAAGAGGACAGTACTTGGCTACTTGTTTAAGCTACTGTGGCATTGCCACGGTAGTAGGCATGCACTCCAAACTAGTAATGAGGACATCTGTGTGTACTTGTTATAAAGAAAACGAGCAGAGTAGCAAGCAATGGTCGAAAGGTGAGCACGACTCCAGAGTTCTTTACGTCAATGCAACAAAGCAGGAGACCTAATGTATTTGACGAGCTTCAGCTTCTATTCTTTATGGCTGACTTAATGACCCTGAGGAATAAAATTACAGCTACTTTACGGACAATGACACCAGAGAGGGAAATTGTATCCTTGGCAGTAGGAAGGAAATTTGTTCCGTGTCAACAATATCTCACACGCAGAACGTACTTATTTCCCATGACTACGTGAACAGTTTTACTACCAAGTGCAACTGTTACATGTGGTATAAACCTACCAGCTCATCAGCTCTCTCCTCTGACATCTTCTGTCTGAAAAAAAGTCAAAATATAGGCCTGGTGACTAAATGTACACATGCATGTATCTACTAGTAATTGCGCATTAATGTCGATCAAATATAAGGTTTAATACTAGAAAAGGTACATTTGATCCTACATGCAGTAGAAAGGTAGACAAATTGTGCTGATGACGAGCATTGGGGAAGTTTGACTTACTTCAGTTTCTGTAGCTGAAATTCCAAGTCATCTCTTTCTTTCGCCTTCCTTTCGTTTTCCATAACAGCGTCCTCGTAGTCTCTGGAAATGGACAATAATACGCATTATTCAGTTTAGCCTATCCATTTTTTAATACTGCTAGATGTGGTGTAAGAAAGTGCGATAGTGTTTTCATGGATCATAAGACATGATGCTATTTTATTGGGATCTCAATGAGCACTTAGCGATATTCACCCCAACAGGGCATGCAATGGCATGACAAGAAAAGGACTCTTTATGAAACAAAAACCGTTCACCAACTAAAAAAAATTGGACTCACATTTTCGATTAAATTTCGCTCGAAATTACTCTTAAGTAATCCGACCCAATCGCTCAGGACATCTGGCTTAATGCACGTGTGACGTCAGCAATGGATCAAAGGTTGTCTGAAGTAGATATCGCCCCCCGTCCCAACATGGCAAAAGCGCTCCAAACATCCTACCTGGACAGTAGCGCTCGTTCCTTCTGTAGCTTCTCCTGCATCTGAATACAGAGTTCCTGACTTTCCTCCAGACTATGAAGGGACTCGTCCAACTGGGCTTGTAGTTTCAAGTTTTCCTGTTGGGAAGTTAAGACATTAGTAAAGAAAAGGTTGAAAATACATGTACCACCCAAATTTACCAATGTTGTGGAAGCCTATATACAGTCAAATGTCTCTTTTCTTTGACTTTTTTCAGTTGCAATAGATGTCTGAGGTTGGGGGGTGGGTACATGTGAAATACATGTTTTGGCAGTCAACTCTATACTATATTATTGGAAATGAAGGCCTGAACTATCAACATGTTTTGTACTATGAATGCTTGTTATACACAACTTTCTCGAACAAACAAAACATATGGTACATCAACGGCTCCCATTAAAGGTAATGTCTACATCGTGTGTGTAAGTGTAGAGTCATCACACGTGTGCATGTTACGTGATCCCACCGCTGCCACCATGTTCTGATGCTAGTTTAAGGTTACCATAGTAAACAGCACAAACGAGACGACCTTTAGAGTACTAGTCGTCTCCAAGATCTTTATGTGGATGCTAATGTTGCTAGTATTGTTATAGAATGATGCAAGCTGACTTGGTAACACTAAAAAGGGTAAGACCTACCCTCTGTAGCACTTCGTTCTCCTTCATGATCTGCGCTTCTTTAACAGTCAGCTCTGCTATCATCTCCTCCAGCTGAAGGCACATGTGCAAACATTGAATGAATGTTGGGCATATATCATTGACACACTCTGTTATCAATCATTTTAATATGCTAAAAACTACAGTTGTGTGAATACACTGTTTCATTCTTGAAACATGAAAATTATCAGGAACAGTGCCGTAAAGTTTGGGTGTTCCTACCTCTTGGTATCTTTTGTCCTTTTCCTTTTCTCTGTGGTCGAGGTCCTTCAGCATCAGTTCTAACTGTAGCGAGAAGACAGATACGTAACACAATGATCAAAATTCCAGCTGTAACAGACTGGCGTTTTATGGTGATGATAAATATAAGTTAGGGGATCATACTGAAATAAATCATGTAGACTTTATCAAAGAAAACCTGGGAAATTTACACATAATAGACATAAGATCGTTACGATAGTTGTTGTGCCCGGACATTTCCATAGAACGCCCAAAGAAGCGCATGGTGCTGACTTTTCTAACGTACCTCTTTTCGCCTTTGGTTCAGTTCTCGAAGTTGGTCATCCTTTTCTTCAAGTTTTCTCGCCAGTTCCACTCGCATTCTTTCTTCCACCTGAAAAATTAACACCTGTCGTTGAATACGCTAAACCTACATGGAGAGCCATTTTGTATCTCTGACAGTCTGCGGATTACGTACATTATCCCAGCAGCGCCGGTAGCGCCAGGATTTCATTAAGTAAACGTTATTATGTATGGGCGTGAGGTGAAATCCTATATATCTACTCATCTTCCAAAACATCGTTTGCATGACTATTGTGATATGTGTGTACATTCTGAAAACATTTCAGTCGATATTTCAGACTTGAGCTTTCTAAAAGCTACGATAAAATTGCAATCGATTGTAAGAGCACTATCAACTCGCCGTAGATAGTCATACGAGTCTGATGTAATAGGATTCTCAAGCAGGCTTTGACAGAATCAACCACGGGCAACTGTCTATGACAGGCTTTTCGGTAAACAGGGGTGCCAGTGTATACAGTGCAATTTTACGGAATACAGTGCAATTTTAATCGTATTATGATACAGTGCGATTTTACTAGTAGTAGCTCTGTATACTAGTAAAATTGCACTGTACTCTGGCACCCCTGGTAACAATATAACTGAATATTGCACGACACATTCATGACTATCCCAACAATGACCCCAGTTTGTGATCGTACGATGAATGTAACTGTGCCACCACGTACCTCCACTCTGATCTTCTCCCTTTCTTTCGACAGTTGGACCTCCATCTCCTCGTACAATCTCTTCACTTCCTGACTATGCAGCATGGACTTACTGGTTGGTGAATAAAAATGGTTAGAGAGTAACGAGAACAAGAAACATGACATTTCTGACCTTTTGGAAGTATTTTGGGTTTCCATAAAATTATTGGAACAGTGGGGAGGATTGCAAGATGTAATCTTACTCCCATCTAGCACGTAATGGGTAACCTTCGAGCTTGACCTTGCTGTCAATCATCTAGATCTGTCGAAATCACCTCCCACCCACCATCAAACGTAACTATAACAGATGTGCAGACAAACCGTAAAATCTAGCCACCCAAAACAATACTTACGCGCTGTGCAAGTACAAAATAACGAAACCAAAGTACAGTTACAGGTCCTGTGTACTGACCTTCGCACGACGCTGTCACACTTGGTCTGCATCTCGTAGATCTCACAGATGGCGTTCCGCAGGAACACTTCAAACGGCCGCAGCAGCTCGGGCTCGTCCTGCCGCAGCCGCTGCCACAGGCCCTGCAGGTCATTGTTACTGGGGAGAGGAGGATATAGGCATCGTCAAAGATGAAGATGATTTACAGCGCGCTCAGAAGTTCCTCACAGAAAGAGTATCAAGCTTAAGACTGTTTTTATGCAACACGCTTGAAGCGGCCCAGACGTATTCAGATACTCGTACCAGTAAAAAGTACATGTGCGTCTATGAAGGTTAGACATCAAAGGTGACCAGTTCGTAAACAAAATAAATGACTGTAGGTTTATGAATTTGTTTAGAACTTTTATTATGTAACCCGTATCATGTAATATTTTGTTGGAGCCTGACCACTTCTACCTCTTCGGTCAACAGCTAGGCCGATTTGAGTTTTTCATTAATCATTGAAACAAAGATCAAAGCTAACACACAATACAGACATGTACAATCTATCGCTCTCGATGAAGTCATTGGAACACATGTCTATGATGGACGTCCTACATCTCGACTATCGACACCTGTGACCTTTGGACATGGCCTCATGTGATGATAACAATAGAGACGACGCGGACCATTAGTTGACTGTGGGACTTGCTGGGGCACTATTTCATGTAGTAACAGCTATGGAAACAAGAAATCAGACATTCCAGACTTCCGGGAAGTATTTTTAGTTTTCGTGACCTTCTAGCTCACATAACGTTACCTCGTGGAAGTGTTTTGGGATGGAATTGTATGATGTAATTTAATCGAGTATTACACCGCTTCCTGAAGGCGCGTGCTGGATCACCTTTACGTGACCTCCCAATCAAACCCTACCAAAACTGCATATACCCCACCCACCAGGCAACCGACAATAGTTCGAACAGACAAAAAATATAAACGCAGCCACCCAAAACAATACTTCCGCACTCGGAAGTAACAGCAAACTTGGCCCAAACCCATCGTGGACTTATCCCAACCATAGAAGATTTTGAGGACCTCGATTTTCAGTGGTAGAATAAAATTTATTGCCGCGGCATAACAGCGGTTCTGTCTCTGCATCACAGCTAAGCAGCTTGAATTCCGGTGTTGAGCCGGTGGAAAGTCTAGCTGTACATGTATGTCCAGACTGTTCATCTATGTAGAGCCACTGCTGTAGAGAGTGTGAGTGGGTGGGGATTAGGTGCAATGTTTTCAGTCGACGCTCTAATAGTTTTTAGATCCGGCCTTTATGGGTCTAGCTCCTATACTGACCGCCTGAACGTCACGGCTGTAGCGGAAATGAAGCGTGAAGTGTTGGCAATCAAAGCCTACTCTGCTCCATCCCGTGTGGTCACTCTCAATGCCGGTCGATATTTGTCACGGTTAAGCACCACAGACCTGGAAATGTACAAATCATGTCCCCAAACCACGCAGCGTCTAAAATGGTACGACTATTTGAAAGTCTCTAGATCTTTTGCACAGGAGGAAAACAATCGACAAGTAGATAACGATCACTACGCTTCGGTTAAAACATATGTCGTTTGTCATTGAAAGAAACCGTCATCTACATTTATTTTAAGAACATATATAGTAACTCCTGATAACTAGTCTTTGGTGACAAAAAATTTATGGATACCGGGCATGAATAAGCGAGGCTTGCACACCATACGTGCACTGAAAAATTGAGCGAGGAAACCTCCTCCCCCCCCCCCACCCCGTCTAAATCATCCAAAGCTGGAAAATCCTCAGGACGAAAGCATCTTCTCTTTTCCCCAGGACCTAAGAAGCTTCGTGGGGTTAACTTAACTTAACTTAACTTAACTTAACTTAACTTAACTTAACTTAACTTAACTTAACTTAACTTAACTTAACTTAACTTAACTTAACTTAACTTAACTTAACTTAACTTAACTTAACTTAACTTAACTTAACTTAACTCAGGTGAAAATGAGCATCTTCTATTGTCCTATGCGTACCTGGTGCACCGTTGGCATAAAAAATACATTGAAAACTTGCGGTCACCATGTTTTGTGTTAAATGTTGGAGTTAAAAAATCTAGAACCCTAGAACCTATCTGTCCGTCCGTTGCGGCCAGAGAACTAGTGAGGCATTCACGGGTCAGCCGTGAAGCAGCAGGCCCGGATGGAGATTGATGACGCGGGACCGGCTGTCCTATCGACCCGTCTGGGCTGAGGGAACATGACGGCTGAGCCCTGAGGAAGGTCCACTTCTCTTCAAAGGGAAGAAATGGCAGGTTTCCCGGAGGGTTGGCGTGGTCACGCTGACAGGGTTAACTGACTGATGAGGTGGTGTAGAGAAGACGACATTCGCACAAGCGCCGCATTAACTTCAGTATATATATGGCATATGGAGACGATATGTTTAAAGCTATTCCCACTGTAAGTCAAGGTCGATGTACGACAAAATGGCTGCATTAAATGTCTGTAATATAGCCTGGGTACCATCCTACTTGTATACCGGGGCTCCCATACTCGCTTCCCTAAGAAGTAGTCTGGAAACGGTTAGATCTGAACCGTCTGAGCTCGGTCAGATTTTGCCCGCGTGTGCTGATTGGTCCCTTCTGTCTTGTTCATTAGCCTAACGTCCTTCTCAGTATGTGATGATGCTTATCTCCTGCCTGCTCAGCAGGTATCACTGGCCAAGGAAGGAGTTGTTTATTTATCTTGGATGGAGTGTAGTAGCCATTGAGAGACACTGTTGTCATGATTTTGCTAACATTTGAAGTAACAGAGCCACAAAGAACATCTTGCTTAAAGAAAACTACAAGAAATTGTTGTACTCAAGGTAAATTTGTGGCTGCACTTGTCATACATAAGCAGCAACTTTTTTACCCTTACCAAAACAGCACATGGCCACGTGGACTTTGTACTGATCTGTCAGCTACTAGTGGAAGAGGCTCCGCCCAGCCCTCCCCATGTGGCCTACCTCATTGGAGATTATGTGATATCATCACCAAGCCAAATAGATACAAGCGTTTCCAGAGCCCCGGCATACAAGTAGGATGGTACCCAGGCTATCTGTAATAACCGATAAACTGCAAATAAAAACCGTAGAGCATAGGTAAATGTAAAAGATCCAGATCCTATATAGCATCATCTTTCTAAGACCGTAGGGAATATGGATTGTGAATTTACAGTGTCTAGGGCACGTGATTCGAGCACATATTTGCTACACGTATTGTCCAAAGAGATTGGAAGTCGCTGTTTGACGTGTTTCAGACGCATCAGAAGTCGCTACCGACGCGTCACATTCGCTTCAGACGCACCAGAAGTTGCGTCTGTAAGCCTACCTCGTTATCATAGCAAAATTCTCAATTCAAAAGTTTAAAGTTATATTTTAAGACAGGATAGAAGTTCAGCTGAGACTTTTGGTGACGAGTTTATTCTCAGCACATAGACAGACGTGATTGCCGACTGTGAGTTTGTATGCTGTGTTATTAGCTATATATACGTAACTCCACGGGGTTGCATTAACAAATGTATATAGCCTAGATGAAAAGCACACATGCTGACCTAACCACCAGGGTCCCGAACTCTCATATCAGCACATTGACCCTGTCTGAAGCCAAGCTTCCACAAATTTCATACCAGTATGTGGTGAAAATACAAATGCCTGTGCCTCTCAATAGTAATTTATCACTGTCAACATTGTTCTATTCTATTTTGTGTTGGAAGTTTGCTGGTGATGAATGTTTTCCGGTTAGACTTTTTTTAAGAAACCCATTGATTATTTACACTGTTGACACGGATACACAGGAACTCTGGGCGCAGAAGGCAGTTCGTTTAGGCAGCTGGGAAGCCCTGATAACGTGCACGTTAGGACTCCCAGCTCAGGGGGTGTCACACGGAACGGATTGACTGATGCCGTGCATGTGACTGTATGGCGTCATTGCGCCACTGAGGCACTGAGGCACGCCGGGAGCTGGCATGGGTTCAAGAGGGTTTTCCCAGTAGTGTGTCGGCTGAAGGAACTGCCGTAAACACTTGGGACTTCATACATTCAGATAATGTACTGTATGTCAGCAAATTGTTCATGATCAACCATCATATGTCTCATTAAAACCACCTTCTAAACTTTCATGCTGATTGTTGAAGTTATCATCGTTTTGGGTGCTTGAGCTAGGATGTGTGTATCTGTGCGGACGGAGTAGGTTGACAGCACGTGGGTGGAGAAATTGACAGACGGACTGACAGGAGGTCAAAAAGTCATGTGGAGGAAATGGAGGTAAATGTGAAGGTCTCAGAGAATCAGAAAATAGACTGCAAGACGTGGGGGGGGGGCTTCAGAAAGCTTGGAGAGAGTTGCATAAGTCTGAAGTCTCAGATATACATGTAAGGCCTTAGCTGTGTTACCTGTTCTATACTTTGGTATCAATAAATGTAAGAATGCTATACACGGTCTTGCTTCGTCATAGTATCTATCTTCATTTTCATTCCAGGGCATTTTCACTTCTGTGGAGGAACCTCTCCCTTGACTTACACCATTTTCCTCTGAGTCTGGCAGTTCCTGGCCACGCAGGACCCAAAATATATCTTCTGAAAGTTAGTCGTATACTCATGTGAGATATCAGGATAATGAAACCATAATCAACGTGTATTAATGAGAATCCGTTTGTTAAAGGGGATTCCCAGTCTTCGTTGGAAGGGGTTGCGCCTGGTTCTTTGTTAATCATCACACTAATCACTGTACAGGCAAACTGGAACAAACTTTTATCATATCAAATTACTTCTCAACGATTCATAAAATGTTATTATAAATCCTATTATAGACACGTTGGCACGCATTGACGCCAGAAAGCATCATTACTTAAGAAGAAAGAACTCACGAGGTGGATTGATCCCTGGTGGAGCGCGCCTGCACACGAGAGATAACGGGGAAACGGCGGGTCTCTGCGCGCATGAAATGAAGTCTGTGACACCCCACTGCTTCTGTCACAGGCGAGAAATCCACTAGACGACACGCTTCGACCGAAAATCCTATTATCACCTCCTTCCATACCTCTTATCATAGTTGTTATCCTCGTAAAGCAGAAAAACAATCTTACAGAGATGTGGACGTAGAGATACGAAAAAAATCGGAGA